TTTTTTTTTTTTTTTTTTTTTTTTTTTAAAGACAGGACCTTAGGTGGGTCTCGAACTTGTCAATCCTCTTACTTCAGCCTCCCTTAGTGCTGGGGTTACAGCTTCTGCCACTGTGCCAGGTTTTATTTTCTTTTTATGTTTCTTTGTCAGTTTGAGACAAGATATTCCTAGATAGTCCAGGCTGGCCTTGAACTCATTGTGTAGCTCAGGCTGGCCTCAACCGAGTGGTGGTCCTCCTCCCTCAGCCTCCCAAGTGCTGGGATTACAGTTGTGCTCCACCATGCCCAGATAATATTTTCGTTTTGTTTTGTTTTTTGAGACAAGGTTTTCAATATGTAGTTCAGGCTGGGCTTGAACTCATGGTGATCCTACTGCCTCAGTCTCCCTAGTGCTGGGATTTCAGGAATGTACCACCACACACCCAGCTCTCCTGCTAATTTGCTTTTTATTTTATTTTTTTAGTTTATTTTTGTTTATTTTAGTGTAGTACATAATGTTTACATTCACTGTGGGAACTTGGCACATGTACACAACTTTTTTCATCCCCTTTCCCTTCTGTCCCTCTAATTTGCTTTTAAAATTTATTTTGCAGTGCAGGGAGCTGAACCCAGGGCTTTGTGCATGCTGTGCAAATGCTATACCACTGGGCTACATCTTCACCTGTTTTTAACCAAATGAAAAATGCATTATATTTGGTTCTCTAATTGCTTTTGGTCACAGGAAGGTGCTGGGGATACTTCAGAGGCGATGGATACTCAAGCTGGCTCTGTGGATGAAGAGAATGGCCGACAGTTGGGAGAGGTAGAATTGCAGTGTGGGATATGCACAAAATGGTTCACAGCAGATACCTTTGGCATAGATACTTCGTGAGTACTTTTATAAGGATTGGATTCTAAAATCAATCAGAGCATGTTAACAGTTGGACAGTGTGTAAGCCAAAAAAGTCTCCTACTTCCTATTTATCTGGTAGGATAAGGAATTGTTTTAATTCAGTGGTGGCAAAACTTACGGCAGCAGCAAGCTGTTGTGTCCTTGGAAGCTCTAAAAGGTTTGCCATCGCTGCCTTAACCTGTTTTCTGCTTACGAAGTGAAGCATCCATAGAATCAATGGTGGATATCGCCTCTGCTTAGAACTCGTGACCTGGTCAGGAAATAGAACTGTGCATCTAGAAAGCATTATGTCAACAAACTTGAGGTGGTATCATTTAAGCCTCGTATTAGGCATTTTGGATTTTTAAGGAGGGATTTAATGTGTGTGGTGGAGAAACCTGTCGCTGAGATTTGAACATCTGGGGTGTTGCTCAGTGGAGGAGCACTGCTGATCATGTGCAAGGCTTTGGTTTCAGTCTCCAGCTCTGAAAGAAATTGAAGATGACCAGTGCTCTTCATGCCGGAGTCGTCCTTTTAACCCTTTTTCATTGCTTCCGATTTCCTGGAAGTATCCTGTGGTCTCCTTGGCAGAACTTTTTTTTTTTTTGCCACCGAGGATTGAACTCAGGACCTTGTGCTTGCGAGGCAGGTGCGGCACCACTGAGCTAATTCCCCAGCCCGGCAAAACTTATTTCTAAGCATGGTATCTCTTCTAGTGTCTTAAAAATCCTAATTAGAAGTGAAAATGAAAACTTTTTCTGGGGATTTGTCCAGCAGCTAGCAGGTGAGCATTACTGACTCCCTCTCTGTGGCACTGGCTCTGTAACATTCTTTATGGTCCATATGATCCTAATGTATTTATTTTTTCAGGAGGAATGGCTTGTCTCAAAATAAGGTTGCTTTATTCTGAAATTACTTGCCCTTAAATAGGGTAATAAAGACATACCTTCCTTATTAATTGATTGATGGGTTGATTGAGTTTTTTGAGACAAGGTCTCACTGGGAGGTTCAGGCTGGCCCTGAACTCACTGTGTAGGCTCCAGTAGGCCTCAAATTTGTGGGAATCCTCCTGCCTCAACTTCTCAGTGCTGGGATTATAGGCTCCTTTATGATTTATTGTATAATTATTAAACTTGTTGAAAAGTTAAAGTGGACTTTAGAAATGCTAATGTACCAATTAACACATGACTGATGACCTGGGATAGAGTGTTTAAGAGCAAGAAAAATCCTGAGGGTTCAGGAAGAAAGAATTGATCTGGGTAAAAAGGTCTGTGGGGAAAACACACTTGCTAATTAAGCAGGCCTAAATTAGACCACTTTGGGCAAGAAAAATGTATTTGGATAGACATCTTAGGAATGAAAATTCAATCGCTTCTCAGCCTTTTGGCTAGGATCAAGTGTAGGAATGGAAATTTACCAGAGATAGCCAAGGGCAATTCAGGACAGACTAATCTACAGTTCAGAATTTGGGTAGCTTTTGAGAGACCAGCTTGCATGTACCTGGATTTTAGAAATCACACCGAAGCCCAGCTACATGGTGCTGTGGGAGGCCAGTACCACGGGTGGTAAAGAGAAGTTACCAACAGTCAAGCAACGTAGAAGGTTGAAAGCTTGTTGAGGCACGGCAGTACTGCAGCAGGCAAGTCCAAGAGAGGGCTGTGCCATTAGGGCTGAGACTTATTTGTGGAACCTGGGATTGAACTCGGGACCTTGCGCTAAATCCCTGGCCCACTTTCATATTTGATTTTAATGTGAAGAGGGCGTCTGAACGGGTCGTCCCAGGAACATGCATGACGTCGTGGTGGTTCTGTCATCCACCCATCCACCTGTCTCAGTTCGCAGGGCAGCCTCAGGACAGTTCGAGGGCTGACATAATGTCCAGTGCCTTGGAGTCCTTCCCAGTAAAATCAAACATGTAAAGATCGGCTAACACATGTAAGAGACTTTTGCATTTTATTGGAATAGGGGAAGAAATGGTGCCCTTTAAGATACAACAAGCAGATCATCTGGTGATGGATGCATAATTTTTGTGGGTAGCTTAACAATGTTCTACTATAGGCTCATCACGCAGCACATTGGGGCCTTTAAAGAAGCAATGGCAAGAATAACCTTGATTCCCCAAATGCTGGATGAATTATCTTTATGACTGAGAGAATGTGAGCTAGCGGGGTAGAAAAGAGGCTGCTCTTCTCATTTTGTTTTCATGTTATATTTGAATTAAAATAACTACGGCTCCTGATTTGTGTCTGTAATGAAGTGTGTATTCGAAGTTCACTGATTAGTACACTTTGGCTATCCACAGATCCTGTCTACCTTTCATGACCAACTACAGTTTCCACTGCAATGTATGCCATCATAGTGGGAATACCTATTTCCTCCGAAAGCAAGCAAGTAAGAACAACTCTGTAATATTTCAAAATGACTGTGCACTGAAAAAGGAAAGGGACCTGAAGTGAGACTCAGGAGACCTTTGCCTCACAGCTGGTAGAAGTTAAGTTGCAGTTGCCCATTTGAGATCAAATATGGCTTCACTTCGGCTTTGCTGCTTGGTATTTCATGAGCTATCTTGTGTTGAAAATTCCTGGTAATGGAAATGCAGTAGTCATAGATAACTTTTTTCTTCTTGTTTTTGATAGACTTAAAGGAAATGTGCCTTAGTGCTTTGGCCAACCTGACGTGGCAGTCCCGAACACAGGATGAACATCCAAAAACCATGTTTTCCAAAGACAAGGTAGAGATGGGCATTGACTTAATTGCAATTATGAGAAAGAATCAGGTGGAAAGCTAGATGTGGTGGCACACACCTGTAATCCCAGCTCTAGGGAGGCTGAGGCAAGAGGATTGCCACAAGTTTGAGGCCATCCTGGGCTCCATAGTGTGTTCAATCCAAGCCTGGACTGTATGGCAAGACCCTGTCTCCAAAAAAAAAAAAAAAAAAAAGCAGGTTCAACATCCAGTAGACTGGCGGGTAGGCAAGCCTTCACCCTTGAGCTGCACCCACCATCCTTTATTTTGAGACAAGGTCTTGCTAAGTTGCTCAGGCTGTCCTTGAACTCACTATGATGTAAAGGTGTGTATTGCATAGTGACATTTTGGTCAGTGGCAGATTGCATGTATAGCAGTGATCCCAGATCATAAAGGAGCTGAAGGTTCCTGTTGCTTAGCAGCAATACAGCCACTGCTGACAGGAGTACAGTGTGGTCCTCACACGTGCTGCCAGCCGTGGGAAAGGACAGCACAAACACTGTGTGTGGCGTTTAGTACTCTATCACAAGCTGTGTTCAAAGTTGAGGTCCTTCTGCTTCAGTCTCCCAGAGTGCTGGGGATGTAGTTCCTGAAAACCCTGAGTTTAATCCCTCATACCACCAAAGGGGAAAAAAAGTTTTAAGGTACCTATAGGATTCTACAAGGAGATGTCTCAAGTAGGTAGAAATAATTATCCCTCAGGAGATGATAATTTAGGAGTCATTCTCAGTTGACCACCAAAGAATGTGACATCTTTTCCCTCCAACTGGATTATAAACTGAATAGCTAAACTTTGTATATAATTGTTTGCAATTCCCATAATCTGTATATTTCTAAGCCATTAAATATTTGTTCAGGTGATTAAAAGACTAAACATGAATTTTTCTTTTGACTCTAACAAGGCATATCAAAATGCCTGTTTTCTTTCTTTGTGACCAAACCTGTGAAAATAACTGTCAAAAGTCTTAATACATTTTATTTTAAACATTAGGATATCATACCCTTTATCGATAAATACTGGGAGTGCATGACAACCAGACAGAGACCTGGAAAGATGACTTGGCCAAATAACATCGTCAAAACAATGGTGAGTAGGGCCGGGGATTTAGCTCAGTTGTTCCGCCGCCTACCTTGCAAGCGTAAGGACCCGTGTTTGATCCCCGGTACCAAAAAAAAAAATGGTGAGTAGATTTAACATTTAGAAAACTGTTTTTTTTTAATAATTAAATGCTATTTAGTTTCAGTGTTGAAATAATGTGATGACTAAGAAAATGTAATGATTTGACTTAAATCTTTGAGAGTATGAGATAGAAGTTTAATGGTTTTCACACAAAAATTCAGTGAATTGCGTATCATTTTTAAGTGCACATCATTTATACCCACAGTAGTTTTGTGTACAGAAACCTTTGATCGCTGCACTTTGCAGGAATAATTTTGTAGTAAAATTAGAGGCCATGGAGGGGTGTAGCTCAGCAATAGAATGCATGCTTAGCACATGCAGGTTGCTTTTTTTTTGGTACCAGGAATCGAACTCATGCCCTTGCGCTTGCAAGGAAGGTGGTGGAACCACTGAGCCAGATACCTGGCCCTATGCTTAGCACATGCAAAGCTGTCAGTTCAATTCTGAGAACCACAAGTAAAGTTTATACATTAAAACAAAACAGGGCTGGGGATTTAGCTCAGTGTCAATTACACCTGCCTTGGAAGCACAAGGTCCTAAGTTCAATCCCTGGTACCGCAAATAAAGAAAGAAACAAAACAAAACAAATCAGACATGGTGGAGAACGCCTGTAATCCCAGCACTCAGGAGGCTGAGGTGAGAGGATTGTCGTGAGTTCAAAGCCAGCCTGGAATACATAGTGAGTGCAAGTCTGGCCTGAGCTATATAGTAAGACCCAATCTCAAAAAAAATTTTATTTTCTTTGATTTAAAACAAATGAGGGCTGGGGATTTAGCTCAGTGGCACCACTGCCTGCCTCAGAAGTGCAAGGTCCTGAGTTCGATCCCCAGTACCAGGAAAATAAAAAAAACAAATGAGATTCAGGCACTGTGGCATGGGCCTATAATCCCAGCATTTCAAAGGCTGAGGCAAGAAGATCACTTCAAGTTCAAGGCCAAACTAGGCTACATAGTTCACTGCCACCCTGAACTACATAGAGAGACTGTTTTAAAGCAGCAAACAAAAAATAAATGAGATCATGGGGAGAAATCAACGGCCAACTGTTAGTGCTAATCTGTGGAGTAGGAGAATAGGTAAGGATTATGAAAGGCTGCTTCTCTTTGTTTCGCTTTTGTTTTAAATGTTTAATGCTCATCGTTGTAGTCACTTTCTGCCATTGGGATGCAAAATACCCTACAGTTAAAGAAGGAAAGATTTATTTTGGCGCTCTGGTTTATAGAGGTTTCGGCTGGCTCCAACGCAGGATGGCATCATAGGAGAAACAGCTCATGGCATGACAGGCAGAAAGCAACAGGGAGTTCAAGGGAAGGGGAGGGATTTATATTTTGCCAGGCCACGCCCACAGTGACCCACCTCTTTCCACCAGGATAGGCCTCCCAAAATCAGAACCAGCTATAAACCCATCCATTGAAGCCGGGCATGGTGGCTCACACCTGTAATCCCAGCACTCGAGAGGCTGCAGGAGGAGGATCACTGTGAGTTCAAGACCAGCCTGGGCTACACAGTGAGTTCCAGAGCAGTCTGAACTACATAGTGAGACCCTGTCTCAAAAACACCCATCCATGGATTGATCCAGTGATGCAGGTGATCCAGTCACCTCCCAAAAGTTCCCCATGAGCTCGTGAGGTTCTGGGTGGACGTCTAAATATAGACCATATAATCACGTATTAATTTTCTAATGAAAGAGAAGATAACACTGTCTTTGGAGATTACACTGAAGAATTGACTTTTACAGTTAGTGGTTGATCATTTGTTCTGTACTTCTGTGTATAAAATTCCATTAATAGGGCCAGGGGTTTAGCTCAGTGGTGCCACATCTACCTGACAGGCACAAGGTCCTGTGTTTGATTCCTGGTATGGGAGGGGGGAGATTTCGATTACTACTAAGATGCTGTTTCCTTTTAGAGTAAAGAAAGAGATGTGTTCTTGGTAAAGGAGCACCCTGATCCAGGGAGCAAAGACCCTGAAGAGGATTACCCCAAATTTGGACTGTTGGATCAGGTACATTAATATGCTTCATATTTTCTTTTTTTTTTTGTTTGTTGTGTTTTTTTTTGATACTGGGGATCAAACTCAGATCCTTGTGCTTGTGAGGCTGACGGCAGAACCACTGAACTAAATCCCCAGCCCTTTTTCACTTTAAGCCACTTGAGGATAAGATACTAGATTTTGTTTTCATTTACATAACTGCCAACACAACATGGTGGACTAAAAAATAAATGCTTGTTGGGCTGGGGATTTACCTCGGTGGCACTGTTCCTGCATCACAAACACAAGGTCCTGAGTTCGATCCCTGGTACCACAAAAAAATTAATAAATAAATGCTTATTAGTGTGTGTGGAAAGAATATATTGAAGTTGGAAGCTAGTGTTTTAGTTTTGGCTCTTCCCCAAAACGTTAAGGATTTTCACAAGTGATTAGTGATTTTTTTTTCATACACACACACACACACACACACACACACACACACACACACACACTGGTCTCCTTAGTTATGTAAATACGTGGATCTAAATTATTTTTAATCTTCCTGCCATCTCAAATTTTGTTCTTAAAAATGTTATTGTGAAGACAAGGTTGTTGGGGAGAACAGTTTATATTGCTTATGTAGCCTAAACAGAAAAGAAAACTTCCACTCTTGTTCAGTGGCAGAAGTCACATCTGGCAACTGAGACCATCAAATCTAGCCAGGCATGGTGGAGCAAAACTGGGAGGCTGAGGCTGGAAGATCACAAGTTTGAACCCAGCCTGGCCAACTTAGTGATTTAGTGAGACCCTGTCTCAACATTGATTTTTTTTAAAAAGAACTGGAAATTGAGCTCAGTGTACCACCAAAAAAAGTCATATCCTTCAACTATGCTTTAAAGTGTTTGATTTGATATTGTTCAGTCATGGTCTCATTCTGTTGCCCAGGCTCGCCTCAGGCTCCTGTGCATAAGTGATTGTCTTCCTCAGCCTCCCAAGTGTCTGGGACTGCAGGCTGATTTGTCATGTTTGAAAATTTGATATTTCCCACAGAAATTCAAATTTCTGCCTCTTGTAAAATGTGATCTGCCTACCCTAGGCCAGAGTTTCACTGGGAGCTGCATCAGTGGGGCTCAGGCACCTGCCACCCTGCTTGGTGGGCTGACTGCCTGCCATATGTCAACCACTGGCCCGCTGTGCACCTGCTACCTGCTCCTGCAGCACCCAAGACTGCTGTACATTTCAGGCTCTTAGGATTTAGTTCCCATGCAGTTAAAATTCTTCCTATTTTCAGTGCTGTCAGATTAACTTGATTGTATAGCCTTTTTCTTCCTTCCTTCCCAGGTTTTTTTTTTGTTTTTGTTTTTGTTTTTTTTTCCTTTCTTTCTCTTTTTTTCAGAATCTGGCTGAATTGCATAGGCTGAGTTTAACTTGCAACTCTCCTGTTTCAGCCTCCCAGAATTCTGAGATCACAGGCATATCCCTCCACACCCACTTTAGCCTCCTTTTTTTTTTAACTTAGATTTTTTTTCTTCCTTCCAGGATCTTAGTAACATTGGTCCTGCTTATGACAACCAAAAACAAAGCAGTGCTGTGTCTACCAGCGGGAATCTAAATGGTACGTATTCACACATCTAATTGCTGAAATATTTTTAAGCCATTCAAACCATATGTTCCTAGAATTGAGCATTCTTTTTTTTTTTTGGTTTTTCAGACAGGGTTTCGCTATGTAGTTGAGACTGACCTGGAGCTCACTATGTAGCACAGGCTGGTCTCGAACTCACAGCGATCTGCTTCCTGCCTCAGCCTCCCAAGTGCTGGGATCACAGGCCCGGCCTATTGAGCATTCTTTTAGATGGTCCCTTAACTTGGATATTTACTAATGCTTTAAAGTTTAAAATTCAGTTTTTAGGAGTTAGCCAAGAATTTGGCAGATAGTAACGAAGGAGAACTTTTGCCATTTTGCAGCACAGTTTGGTCTAAAGTGAAAGTATAAATACAAGGTATAATTTATGGTTAGACTTATAATGTTTATAATTAGACTTCCCATCTATATCTTTATAACAAATGCAGAAAGATTCAATTGCTCTCCACTGTGTAATTCAGCTATTACTTAACAAGCTTCCTGTGTCCCTCTTCTAATTTTTCTTGCCCTGAAACTTGAACATTTCTGCTTGGATCACCTAATGTGGCTTGTACTTTCTATGTGGTAACCCATCTGGTAGTTTAGTGAGAGCTCAGGGGGCTGGGAGGTGGCCAGCAGTTCATTTGGCACACGACATCTTTGGCTTGTCTTTTGGAGTGTGAGCACCTTCAATACTTCGCCTTTCCTGCAGTTAATCCGACATAGGTTGGGAATTAGCTAAGGATACTGTTTGCCTTTTTACACCACGATTGTCCTGTTTAATTGTTACAATTTGACAAATACATGGTGCCACTTCTGTTCTTGCAGGTGGAGCCACTTTTGGAGGTGAATTCCTCCTCTGTCTTCTTTCAGCCTCTCAGACTTAAGTATTTTGTGGCTTGGAAAATGCTTTTTGCTGAGTTGTGGTAGAAGCTCAAACTAAATAATTTTAAAGCATTGTGACAGCAGTGGCAATAGCATTTACTATGAAGTGGTACTTCCAGTTTAATGTTAGTGATTCAAAGCTTCTGTGTTGTCATATTCTGCCTAACATGACCAGCGGTCTCCCTAATACTGCTTGTTCTGTTCAAGATGGTTCTAAAGCTTCTAAATGGAAATGACAGTAAAAAATAAAAATAAAAACTCGATGAAGGCTAGGAATATATATATATACCTTGGTGATAGGAGTGCTTGCCTAGCACCTGTAATGTCCTGGGTTTGATCCGCAACATCACACCCCAGAAATGAAATAATTTTCACGATCGGTAATGACATTGGAACAATATAATGTTAAGTCTTTTATGAGAAGCGGGAATAACATGTGATGTGTTCACAGAGAGAAATTCTGTAAAATTCTGGTCCTGTGTATGCAGAATATGACCTACCCTCAGTGTCTGGACCCTTCCTATTGCAGCAGAATTGCTGGTGATTTCCAAGCTTGGCCCACAGTGATATATACTATTCTATGCAGCTGTTTACGTAAAGGTGTTTTCCTGCAGTTGAAGGGTGATTTCCTGGAAGAGTAATAACCAGAGATGAGTAATAAAATGGGACAAAAATTTAAAAGTGCCTGTTTCAGAAATATGCAAGGTACTATTTCGTTTGGCCTCTGTATGTAACAAAATTGTTTTATATGAAATATATAAATTTTCTATTGATATTATTTTGCCCTTGATTCCACAAGCCACGTTAGTCTAACTTGAATTCGATGTACTGGCACAGTCTTAGTAAATGTTGTACTGAGGAATACATATGGAACTAAATTTCGCCTCCTGAATTTAAAGCCTTCCTTGCTTGCATCATGCATGACCATTACACATATAGCAGCACTGGAGAGAAACACCTTTTTAGTACTTCTGCTTTCGTTTTCCATGTTTGATGTCCTTTTGTCTTGTTGGATCTTCAAGTTAAGTGCTTTAGCAGATACTGTGCCTTTATTATGTTTATGGACTATACCGTGCAGTTCGACCAAGTGACTGTTGACCTACAGTGAGGATATCTCCGTGATGGGTGTCTGTTTGACTTGGGTGGGAAAGCCCGACCACGCGGTTGTTTCCCTCTTTCAGCTGTGTGTGCTTGGAGTCAGAACGAGTGAGAATGCATTTGTGTCACATCCTCAGTCAGTGACTAGTGGTTGTACTTCCTTAGGGAAGGAAGGCTGAAACTAGCACAGATGTCAATACTGCGAGCTTCACTGGCACCTGCTGCTGGAGCTCATGCTGTCAGAGTCAGAGCCAGGGTGACATTTGATGCCTTCCGGAAGGAAAGCCCACTGTGGTGTCACACAAATGCACATTGGGTGTGTTAGTCCTCACGGAATCTTGTGTCCACGGTGCTTTTCTCACAGTTCATTGAAAGTCATCTGCCTTCTCTTACAAGGGGGAATCACAGCAGGCAGCAGTGGGAAAGGAAGAGGAGCTAAACGCAAACAGCAGGATGGAGGGACCACGGGAACCACCAAGAAGGCCCGGAGGTGGGGAGAACACCCACCCCACCCACCGCAGTTTGCATGCTTGGTACCAGCGAAGTCCACTGGGAGGAAACATATTGTTTTGTTTTGTTTTTTTTTTTTTTTTTTTTTTTTTTTTTTT